AAGATGATGGTTTGGGTCCAAATAACTTAAGCTGCGTTCCGTTCCGCAGTGTACATAAACAGTACTCCCTACTCCCAGGAGGATGTCGGTTAAGGGAACTTCCCTCGACAGAATGCCTCCATTCGGAAAATCCTGCAACATCACCAACACAGACATCACTCCCTCTGTGTGTAACTCTGGTAACACACCCCGGACACCTGTTGCTGCAGATGTGGAAATTGTAAACTACTGAAATAAAATATTGAAACAAAAACTGATACCATTGCAAAACTTTTTCTATTGAAATGTATGTAACTTGGGAATAAATGTGATTTGGTTTTAATTTAGAAATGTGTCCAAAAGAGATGAATGTTGTGCAAATTATTTACAGACTAGATTATACGTAGATTACAGATTGTTAAATTATATGCAGATTATTCACAGATTATTGTTTTGTAATATTCATGTTATGTTGTCCTTGATAATTATGAATGGTGCATACATTTAACACCAGGTCCCTCCGCTGTTCGTTAGGTTACTTACGTTTGTAAGTGCAGCTAACATTGGCACTGATGTTCGTTGTAATATTGCAGTTACATGGCTATGCTAGTCAAACCAAGTATAAATCTGTGACGAAGTGGGTTTGCTCACCACTTGTCCCATACAGGCCATGACTTTCTAGTTTATACATATATGTTTATGTTTTTTGGTAATTTGCCATAGCTTGTGTAAAAGTGCACAATTTACTATTCCGGGTTGTTTGTGTTTGTATAATGTTACAGGCGAGTGCAAAGCATATGATAAGTTAGAGTAAACACATAGTCATAAGTTAGTTTCAGCTCAATTTTATTAGGTTGCAAGTTTAAACATGGTTTAATTGTTTTCCTGTGTTAATACCTTAATTGTTTGTTCCTTTGTTCAGTTCCACCATGCAGGATAATTGTTTGGGGAGGGGCCGGCCTAAGCATTTCCTGTTTTATAGGAATAGGGTGGTCATGGATGACATCACCGGGCCAAACCAAGTAGAGGGTTTTCTTTCTTTATAGGAATGTTTCTTTTGGTTGTTTTTTGATTATTATGAATAAATGTGTGAATAACCCTGACCTGTTTTTCTAGGCAGTGGGAGCAGAGTGAACTGATAACGAAGTTCCAAATATTAAGAGATTTCTAGATATAGATGTTGTGGAGTAGATCAACCTGCATCAGAATGGGATGGGCTTAAGCAGTTGGGTGTGAATTGACCACCCTATATAAACAGGGGGGAGAAAAAGGAGGTGAAGGTGTGCTGCTGTGAACACGTGCCTCGTGTTAGTGTTGCTATAAGTTTGATGTGTTATTTTTCTTTTGTTATTTTGGATTGAATTATCCATGTACTACCATGGTCAATAAAATAATCGCTTCTGCAAACATATGATGTTGGAGTCTGCCTACCTACCACCTTCCTAGCCACTCTGGCCAGGCTACACCACAAAATCCAAGAACAGCTTGTTTCCATAGAGATATTGGATTATTTGATTTATAAATAATTACAAACATTGTTGTTTTCAGGTAACCACTTAAAGAGTCATACCAATAATAATATGTAACTATATATGACAGTTTGGAATTTAACTTGACATTGCTGAAAACCCTGTGCAGTCCACTTTGCAGGGAACTATTAGGTGATATGAACGCACCCTTTGTTAAGATTAGGGGAGCTTAATTGTCATGGTTATGATAACAAACACATGGTTAAGGCTATAGAGAATGATCATGGTCATTATTAAAACAAATGTTGACCGCCGGCTGGAAACAGGAAATGAACAGGGGTATCCCTTGTTCAATGTTTTATTATCTGACCCATCCACCCTAACCTGCTCCACATGCAGACTGTGTCACACTGACTATGTCACCTGACTTCCTCCTTTGCTCCCGTCACAATTACTTTGGCTGTGAGATGGTCATTAAAATGTAAAAATATGTATGCTTTGTGTGTATGCTCCAAAGTTAAGCTGAAACCCCTTAACACACAACTATAAATACACCTTAAGATGGCTGAGACGTGAAATGTCGAAGGGCCACAGCGCAATAACACAAAGATGACTGCAATATTTATTACGAAAATATTTACTCAGTGGTTCTCGGTGGTGGTCTATCTTATCTAACTGATAGTGCTGACAAGCAGAGGTAAAAAAAAAAAAAGCTGTCATCGGAGGTGAACAGAGGGCAGATGAAACCTGTCAAACCAAAATATTTGTTCAACACTGCGACCATGATGTCATCAGGGCATCAGATGTTGAATATAAATGATTTATTTATTTATTTATTTTTTTAACCTGTCCTGCCCAACAGCCTGGTATAGAGTATGATGACCTGGATACCATATTGTGCCAGACAGATTTTACTTAAACAAGAGAGTATTAATATACTCCTTTGTCTGTTTTATTATTTATTTAATTATGTATTGATTTGTCAGCGGGCTGGACAGGGGGGCAGACACGGGGAGGGGGGGGGGGCACAAACAGGCAGCACAGAGAAAGGACAAGACCTGTAAGAGAAGGGGGATGGAAGGTGGGGACAACAGGGAGTAGCAGAGGGAAACACCAATTGCAGAAAGCAACGAAACCTACAATAGAACAGAGTGGGGGGCTTGGGGAGGAGAAAAACAACAACAAACAAACACAAACAAAAACAAACAATAAAAATAATAATAATAGTAAAAGACAACCAGCCGAACAGCAGCAATAAACAGCTGACATAGTAAGACAACTAAGAGAAAAATGAAAACAAGAAACAGTCACACACACTAAACAAGCAACACAGCACAGCCACGAGAGCTGGAATAATAATTAATTTAAATAAGTAACTGAAAGAAAAGCATCAGGAATAATTCTACCAACAACCTAAAATTGTTTGTGTCTATGTGTGAGACTGTGTGTGTCTGTGTGCGTGTGGGTGAATGTGTCTGTATGTGTGTGTGTACATGTGTGTGCGCATAAGCCTGTTAAAGAATGTAGTTGTTAGTGAGAGTGGGACGCCACGACTGTGCCACACTTACCCCAGCAACAGGCAGGCAAGAACCCCAGATCAGGCAAGGCCGTCACCAACCCCACAGCACGATTGATTAAAATGATTAAATACATTTCACACAAGGAGTTTTGTAGCACCTCACAATGTCACCACTATCTCTTTCCATGTTTTGTGTCAAAATATTTTTTCCATTAGTAATATTCACTGAAAGAATTACATCAAACCACCATTTCTCTTTTAAGGTTTGTATAAATTCTCTTGATAAGTGGAGCGGTAAATGTGTTAAATGTGCTTTATAGAGAGTATTGACAGAAGCATCTTCCAGAATGCTGTTGTCCCATTTTTTCATAAGCAGGTTTGTGTCTAATCAGGAAAACACATAGTACTAGAGGTTATCCGAAGGACCAAGGAGCTGTCTGACAGCTCATCATGGATCCTCTGGCATCAGCAATATTGCTAATCAATGCTTTCTCCCGCCTGCAGTGATGGATCATTTTGGGAAACCTCAGACTGAAAAAGAATGAATCTGTGATGTATGTACTGTATTAGCATACCTATTATTCTTGACTTATTTTACATTTTGTGGAGGAAAAACTCAAGATCAGCTTCTCTGTTTCAGTTCCTCCAGAAGTGGAGCTGACCAGGCAGAGACTTCTAAATATGACAGAATGACCTCTGTTGTCTCACTTCTCCTTTCCTGTTGGCTCCTTGCTTAATCAAACATTGGCAAAAGTCACTCAGCCACTAATTTGTCAGTGCTGCCACTTTGGCTTTGAACCAGACAATTTTTTCTACTCTAAATGCCATTTTTAAACCTTTATCTCTCCAGCAGATATGTAATGGCTTCAATTTCAACCCAAACAGGAAATCAAGCTAAACAAAGCTCCTCCAGCAAGTTTGAGCATGTTTTATGGAGGTTTTATGGGAGTTGTCTTATAATCCCTGCTGTAGTACAGGCACATTGGTATTTATTTTCATATTTTAAAACAAATGCTACCATAGAGAGAAACTTCTATGACTTCAGGAAAGTTTTTTCATTCATTTACACTGTTTGATTTCAATAAGTGATACAAAGAAACCCCAAATTAAACATGAGCCAGCTTTAAGTAATATTTTCTTACTATATTCAAGTCAATTGAACGGTTTCAGTTTCAGTTTGTCGTTAGTTGGGGCAATGTGAGAGTGTGTGTAAGAGAAATGACAAAAACTCAGGACATCATTGTGGGAAGACAGTGATTTATGGCGCACTATAGCAGCTCAGTGGTGGCTGACAGTGTTAAGTGGAGGTGGAGACAGGCCTGTCAGAGGTGAGCAGAGGGCAGATAAGACTGGCAAAGACAAAATATTTTTCTTAGGCTGCTGTCCTCACATACACACTCTGACTTTTCCTTTTCATTAGTAATGGTCACAGAACAATGAACATGGAACATAGACTCATACATAATGCACATGCAAATACACACAGGCACCCACAGACACTCACTGGAACCTGTCAGTGGTGGATTTTACCTTACCTTACATTAAAAAAGTGTTGCCAAATATTAATACACACTTTACAAATAAACAAATGACAGAAATAAATATGACTACAGGAACAATTTTAGCAAGTTTTTCTTCTAGCTTAACATTTGAAAAAAATACAGATTCATATGTTAAAAGGACATTATTTAGAGAGTGGAGCATGTGGTTGAAAGTCAGACAGGTTTGGTAAGATGAGGTTCAAGGGGCCATGTGTAGTTTTCAGTGGCCTCTAGTGGTGAGATTTCAGATTGCAACCACTACCTTTGCAAACGGGTGCTTGTGAGTGTGCTCGAACTAATGAGCAAAACAGAGACCAACACACATAAATAAAAATAAGTCATTCATAAAAAGTCATTCTGTCCATGTAGTTACTTGTACAGGGCAGAATGAAATAGCGTTTCTCAAGGGCTGTGCAATCATTCAGACAACATACAACATTAAATAGATAAATAAAATTTATATAAAAATCATCAAAGGGACATGCAGGTGATTCTACTGTATATAAAACACTGTCTCCTCCAGGGCCAGCAGAGAGAAATGTCTTGAAAACAATCAATCACATCCAATTGACCACAGCAATCTTCAGTGTACTTCCACCACTATCATTACTGCTACTCCAGTTACCACTATTACTGCTGAATATAAGAGGAAACTTTAATGATTCCTGAGGGAAATTGGGGATTTCAATCAAACATGTGCAAAACCCAAGAGTGACATCATTGATTTAGCTCATTTTTAGGGACCACACAAGCTATAAGACAAAAGAAGGTTTCTCAAGTGACAAAAACTGCTTTTATCAGTATATGACAATTACTCAGTCATGTTGTGTCATCTTCTGGCCCCTTTTACCTCCCTACACAGAATAAATGCAGTATTGTGTGTTGTATGTTACATTTATATTTCACATAGTCAAATATTTTTGCTTATCTTCTTGAGCTGGTGAGAGCTGATATTTATATGGACAATGATGAACTCATTTGTGGTTTACAACAGCAGATAAGACAGCTCATTTTAACAGTAAGCATATTATGAGGATTCAAGTCCAAACATAGACAAGACTAGTATTGATTTCCTTCCTGATTTTCAAAAAAGGGAAGTTAAACATTCAGTGAATGATACTGTCCTGCAGTGTGTGTGGGGGGAGAAATTCATCTTATCCTCATTTCAGGACAGTTATACAATAGCCTACACACATGCGTGGTCTTTGTTATTTTTTCCTCTCAATCCTGACCCAAGGTAAGTCGATATTCTGTGCTTATTTGTTTTCTTCTATTTGTAGAGTGCTTGTGGATATAAGAGTTGCGGAGTGTGTGTGTATGTGCATGATGGCGGGGAGAAGGGTGGTTGCATTTGTGGGCTTCGCATTTCAGAATTACAATTGCAATTTGCATCTTATCGTCCAGTTTGACCAAAGTCGTTGATGTCTTCCACAGTGTCTTCCAGCACCTTGAAAGTCATTGGGCACAATGTCACTTTGCCCTGCAAGTATGACACCCAATCTCAGAGTGTCTTGAGTTTCTGTTGGGGACAAGAGACGGTGCCCATGTCCAAATGCTCCAACACCATCCTCTCCTCCGAGGATGGGGCTGTACAATTCAGGCAGTCCCCCAGGTACCAGCTGCTGGGCAGGGGGACAGACGGAGACATGTCCTTGACCATCCTGAACGCTCAGTGGAGTGGTGCTGGTGTGTACGGCTGCAGGGTTGAGATCCCTGGGTGGTTCAATGACTATAAGGTCAACACATACCTTGTCATGGAGGAAGGTAATGCTCATGAAAATCATCCAGGGGGGATCATGAACTTACTCCATCTTAAGGTATTTTGTTTATTCCAGCTCCCGTGGAACAACATGTTACCGATGCTTGGACACTTACTACTGGTGGGACACAAGGTGAGCAATCTCCTGTAAATGAATAAATAAGGTCATAAAGTGGTGATTTTGATCAAAATTTTAAATCTAAATGTCTTGGAGCAGCTGTTTTATTGGCAATGTTTTGTAGTCAATGATAAAGCATACTGTATGGCATTTAACTTTATGCATAAAGTTTTATACGTTGTCGTGACAGTTTCAACTTCTTACAAAAATATTGACAACTTTCACAACAAAAAATGCAGAAGTTGGTGACCCAACGTTTGCCACAAATGGAAATGCAACAATTAAGGTATGGTACTGTTTATTTCAAAAATGAGGAAATATAATACAGTGATACAGAACAAAATGTATAATTATACTTTTTACTGTACAAGATGAATCCCAGAGGGCTAAAATGAAAAACTACAGTGTTTTGTGTCTAAAGTAATGCTTTTTTTTTTTTTTATTTGAAGAACTGAAGGAAATTGCAAATCTAATCTAAGGTGTTGGCTTGCAATTAGACTCAGTTGGAGAATTCATTCATTTTGGCTGGGGTTGCACCAAATGATAATTTATAGGAGAGCCTTTCCTGATCTTATTTGACTTTATTTTATCCCTTTTATTTTATTCTATTTTACTAATTTTATATTTATCTTAAATGTGTATTTTAGTCTTTTCTTTTCTTTATCTTGTATTGTTTTTGTATTATTGTTTTTTTGGGTATTATTGTTTTTTGGGTATCATTGTCTTTACACTTGTTAAAACACTTTGTAACTTGTTTTTGAAAAGTGCTCTACAAATAAAGACTATTATTATTATAATTGATTATTAAGATTATATAATGAAGATAATGGGTAGACACTCAGTTTATGTACTAGTTCTGGGTTTTCAACAAGTTCATTCAGGTGTGTTAGCCAGAACACCACTTAGGCCAAATGTATGAGTATGAAATGATGAGCGGAGAGATAATTCTTATTCTGTTTCTTTATTCCTCTTTCTTGTGTGAACGAGTTGGAGGATGGGTGTAATGCTAAGTGTGGTTTCTATAAAGAGAGAAACAAATACAAATGAATAAAGGAAACATATGCGTACAGTCATTCCTCCTTAAGCACTACTATACATTACCAAACATAACAAAAACAATAGTCAGGATATGACGATATATCTCTTAAACTCTAATAATATAAGCATAAAGAAAGGATTCACACCCTTATTATATGGAATTCTCAGATTTTCTACTATGCGTTAAGTTCCCGCTTAACAGACAGCACTTCCTGTCACCTTTGATACGCTTTATAGCCTCCAACTGACTAAACGGCTGGCTGCTTTTATTGTGACAACCCCGTACCGGCTGCTATGTTCCGTTCGAGCTAGCAAGGCCTTGATTCAGAAGCATCTACAGCGCTCCAAATAACAATATTTAACACCACTTACTTCTTATTCTACTCAACCACCCAGTGCTGAACAATCCTAACAACAAGCAGTAAAGTATAAACATGTCTAAACACGATATTACATATTTTTAATCAGACGTACCGAATCAGATGAGCCGAAGCTCGAAAGTGAATGTACGAATGCGGATCTAACGTTAATTAGCACCGCGTCCCTTAAACTCATAACTCTTATCCACATCAAACAGCAGAAATAACAACTGGTTTGACAACTAAATTCAATATCACAGATGTACTTACTCTTCTCATTTACGCACACTCTGAAGAAAAGAGCAGCTCACAACTACAATACAGCTGACCGACTATCTCCATCATACTGTATACTAATTGTGTGAGGTCAGATAATATACAAATCAGCACGCGCTTTGGCTACCCGGTTACAATGCTAAATAAACGGAAATAAACGTGAACCACAAAGCCCATTATGGTCAACTGTACTAAATAATACTAACACTAACATAACTTTGGAGCCTTTTCTACAGATTAGTTTTTCGATTAGTCAATTGATCTAAACTAATTTAGCGAATAAATATTATTATATTATTTTGTAATTGCTCAATTAATATAACAATTAATCCAATTACCTCAAGTAATTTGTGGATGAAGTGAGTGCCCAGCCGTAGTTGCGGCACATCTGGGCTTCTTCAGGAACATTTTGTCTGAAGAATAAAAAACATGTCATAGTGTGCGACTTTACCATTTTACTTTTATTGAAAAACATAATTCAACTTTATGTGATTTTGCACATGTGGGACACCCACCAAAAACCAATTGTGAGAGGCGAGTTGTTACAGTAAAACGATGGGGGAAACGTGAGTCAGATTTGGAGAGAGGAGTTTGTTGTGATGGAGTAACATAAGGAAATTAAGTCTTGCTAGCAGCTCCTCTATGTACAGGCTACACAACAAACTCCTCTCCCTTGGGCCTTTCTCATTTCCCAAATTTATGTCTCCTGGACTCCTCGATCCTTGACTCCTCGTGGCGCGTCTTAGTCCCTCCCACCAGAGTTGCGAGCTCAAGGAGTTGAGGAGGGGAGGCAAGGAGTGAGGAGTCAAGGAAACAGGCATTTAACGAAGTGAGATGTCCTTTCCTCGAAGCCATTTTAATGCGTCGTCAGACATGTTGCAAAGCTGCATCATCTGTCCACTGTTAGAGCTGTGATCTCTATCAGAAGAGCTGACAGGCTTTTGGCACTAAAGCTACAGATCACATCTTAACAATCAAGAAACATGTCTGTCAATATTATAACATGTATTATAACATGTAGAAACATCTCGAGCCTCTGTCCAATACTGTCTACTACAGATTACAGTAGCCTACCATCATTCACTAAACAGAAATACAATACAAAAAGTTATTTTGGGTGCGCCTTTTGTCTGTACACAGGAGATCATTTCAGCCCTCAGCCTGATGAGGTGAGAGTTTCATCATCAGTCCCTTTACAAAATTACTAACATTTATCTCATATAGCCCCAATTAAAACTGTCACCACAGGATTATACTGTTGTAATGAGTGCAGACTACATGGGCACTATAATAACTTGAAACATCATTGCTGAATGCTCTGGTTCATAATCCAGCCTAATAATTTGACTTCAGCAGCTGATTGCACTTTGTCAAGATTAGCCTATAGCAACTGAATTGGTGTCATGTGCAGATCGGCTCCTACATTAACGGAATATTAATTTATGTTGCTGTGGCTCCTGCGTAAATGTGCACAGCCTCTTTGGAGGCAACAACATCAGTGATATCAAAGTGAAATGACATTAAGGAATGCGGTTAGTAAAGGGCAGAAAGTTTTATCGCGCAGTTGATCATTTTAAATAATTAATACAACTTGTGAATACAGCAGGAACACTGTAGAGTCCTGCTCCGGTCATGGGTTGGTCCAGCTGCATGTCACGCCTCTTTTTAACATCAAAGCGGCTGAAAAAACTTTCGCAAAGGATACAGGTATCGTTGTTAACGATAGTACTTAATACAGCTGACTACCAGAACAAAGTCAACACACTACTAATGGACACAAACACATATGAGACACTGAGACGAGACCCAACCAGTGGATACAAGAAAAAGGCCATAGAATGTCTACAACAGTTACAGAAGGACAACACCATCACCCGTGAACAATATTACCGTTTGTATCCTGGAGAAGCCATTCCTTGCATTTATGGACTACCCAAGATACACAAAGGAGCCCCACTCAGGCCGATTATCAGCAGCATTAACTCGGTCACCTACAACATTGCCAAACACATTTCCACCATCTTAGCTCCATTGGTGGGAAACACGCCTCACCACGTCCAAAACTTTATTGACTTTGTAAACAAAGTTCGAGGACTAAAACTGGATCCAGATGAAACCATGTTATCCTATGACGTGACTTCTTTGTTCACCTGCATCCCCACCATAGAGGCAGTAGAAACCGTTAGGAAACGGCTACAACACCCTGGACAACAGAACTAGACTCAGCCCTGACCAAATCTGCAAATTACTCGACCTCTGTCTAAACACCACCTACTTCCAGTAGAACGGTGGATTCTACAGACAGTAGCATGGCTGTGCCATGGGCTCACCGGTATCCCCGATTGTGGCAAACATCTACATGGAGTGGAGAATAAAGCCCTCAACTCCTTCAGAGGAATAGCACCGAGCCACTGGTACAGATATGTGGACGACATAAAATTAAAATTAATAAAAAATTAAAAGCCAGGAAGTGCAAGCCTTCACAGAACACATCAACTCTGTGGACAGTAACATCAGGTTCACACGAAAAGATGTTCACAACAACAGTTTGGCCTTCCTGGACTGCGCTGTACACATTGAAGAGGACAGGAGCCTGCAGATTGGTGTTTACAGAAAACCCACACACACAGACCAATACCTACTCTTCGCTAGGGGTCATGAGAACACTGCACCACAGAGCGGAAAACATACCAACAAGCGCCCAAGCCAGAGAGAAGGAACAGAACCACCTGAAGGGGGCACTTACAGCCTGTGGATACCCTAAATGGACCTTTGTGAAGACAGCCACAAGATCCAAGAAGAACAAAACTACAGGGGAGGAGGAAAAGAAGGTCAAACGCAACAACATTGTGATTCCATACGTGTCTGGAGTATCAGAGAAACTCAGGAGGATTTTCAACAAACATAACATCCCTGTGTTTTTTAAACCCAAGAACACAATAAGACAGATGCAGGTACACCCCAAAGACCGCACACCCAAACACAAGAAAATCAATCTAGTGTATGCGGTTCAATGCAGTGAGGAATGCACAGACCTGTATATTGGGGAGACTAAACAACCACTAACAACCACAAACGCATGGCTCAACACAGAAGGGCCAACTCCTCAGGTCAAGACTCTGCAGTCTACTTACATTTGAAGGACAGAGGAAGGTCTCGTTTGAGGACCACCAGGTGCACATTTTAGACAGAGAAGATGGATGGTTTGAAAGAGGTGTCAAGGAAGCATCTACACCAGGGTTGAGAAGCCGTCATTGAACAGAGGAGGGGGTCTACGCCACCACTTATCCCCCACTTACAATGCGGTCCTTTCATCACTTCCCAGGAAACTCAACGAACGTAACCTATTGGCCTCAGGTGAAGATACCAACGATGGTTGTTCAGTCTTGGCCACAGGTAGTCTTAACGACTGTAACCACTGTCGTCACAGCAACAAGGAACACTAACGAACCAGCGGTATCGATGACCCGGGCCAACGACCCCACTGAGGTTAAATAGCTGTTTCCCTGCCAGTCAGTCAGAACTGAAGAAGTCCTTTGGATGAAGGACGAAACGTCTTCCAGTATCTTCAACCAAGTCCAGTTGACCTTGATTTTAACCTTCGTTGGATACAGGTATCCTCGCTTATAGCTCCTCCAGCTAGCCTCCTCGATCCTCGCACCTCGAGGTGAATTTTTAGGAATTGAGATGTCCTTCAAGATGGGGTTTCCTGCAACAGGTCGCCTCTCACAAGATTTCAGAGCGAGATTTTTCCTTGAGTGAGACTTCAGTTTCTTGTTTAAAACAAAGGGTTGTCACCGGGAGTCACTCATCCTTTCCATGATGTTGTCAGACACCCAGTATAACAGTCTGAGCGTGCAGCTACTCGTATTCCAAAACTTTTGGTACCTACTAGTCATTTCAACCCCAAAATATGTGAAAGGTTTAAATGGTTTTAAATACCGAGATTACCCTTTAAGGCTGAAAGTAAGAAAACAGTTTCCAATATACTGAATATTTATGGCACATAAACTATGTGCCACTTATAAACGACCAAGTCCCTCATGAGAAGGTTAATTTTCATTGCAGGAAGAATTCAAAGCCTTCCTGGAAGTGGGGAACATTGGCAGGATAGTAGCTATTTTCTTCCTCACCATCATCATAATCCTCGTCTTATTTATGCGTAAGTGTGGAACGAATTATAGTTTGTGACTCATGTGCCATTCAGATTTACTTTACACATTTAAATCGGGCGTCTATTGAACACTTTATATTCTGTATCATCAGATATCATTTTAACGTTTGTATTTCTTCAAACCAGAGAGAGGATTTCTGCCGAGGAAGACACTTCAACATCTCAACACCTCAGCTGCTGAGAACATTTATGAAAGCGTCCCGATGCCTGAGTGATGGTCAACGTTGCGAGAACAAAGGAGTTTGCAGATTTCTATAGGCAACTGCTTGCTGAACTTGTCATGTGTTGACTCTATTCACCTTTAGAACGCTTGTCTATTGTTTAGTAGAAAATGACCTATGTCCCTAGTTAATCAGATTACAGCATTGAAAAAAAGTTTCATACACCCTGCAGATTAATTGATTGGCTTTTATTTTCTCCCAGTCTGTTTTTCATGGAAAAACTGATGTCACAGACCTTAAAAGCTTGCGGATGGTTCAGACTTGTGGACACAATGCCACCTACTGGATTTAATACATTATTACTGGACTTCTAATTCAAAGTAGAGAATAGGTTTGGTTGGTTAACAGTTTGGCTGGGCAAGCTGAGATAGAAATGGAGGACAGTGTGGGAGAAATGTCAATTCATACTGGGGTCAAGTCAATTTTATTTATATAGCACAATATGACAAATCACAGTTTGCCTCAAGGGACTTTACCTGACTATGTTTTTGAATAAAGTTGAAAGGTAACATCTAAATTGTTTACTGAAAAACTATTCCCAGTAAGAATAAAATAAAAAGTAAAACATGTATGCATTATTTATATGAATTTGTGCAACAAAGTAAGCAAAAAGAAAGAAATCAGATGTGAAGACATTTTTTCTGAATCAGTGAGATAAATGCTCTGAATGAGGCTCTGACTTTGTGTTCACAGCATATTTCATGGCTGATAGCAGCAGAAATGTGTCACTTTGCATGATTTAAAATTGTTGCTGCTCTATGGAGGTCTCTCATTTGCAGGTGTATATTTTTTGTGAATTGACGGCACACATCTAAAAAAGAGTTGGTACTTTTGTAACATTATTCTGCAATTTTCAGCAAAATCTAATAAATGTAACTACCTCCTATCACTTCATGGATTGAGACCAAACAACAGGAGAGAAGAAATTATGTTGACAACCTTGATAATGTCTGTCTAATCATCAAAATGAAACCACTTCTGGAATAAGAAACCAAAACCACAGAAAAGAAAATTTCCCTTTCTACATTCCTCTTCTGTCAGCAGAAGTTGTTTGTGTGAGCATCCCAAGGACAGCGTGATGTGATTTGGAAAGATTTCAAAGCTGAAACCACAACGTGATTTGGTTTAGTGTCTTTCAGCAGGTGATCTAAATCCGACTGAGACAAGAGAGTAAAATTATCTTTTTAGGCAGAAGATGCCTCCCTCTCCTCTTTTGTCTACTCCTCGGTAAAACAGCCATGAGAATTATATGCACTTATTCAATGATGAGTTTTTATTTAATAGGGGATAGCGGGGTATGTTGTCACACTTTTCACACCATCTAATATTTACTGAGCACCGTACATCACAATGGTACAAATGTCAAACCAAATGAAAGAATGAAGTCTAGGGCAGAAGTTTTGTATTCATTACATCTTCATATCTTATCTCATTATGGAGCTGTAGACTGTTGAATAGAGAGTGTGCGCTTGTGACAATTTGCCCCATCGGCAGGTAAGTTGTCACACTGCATAGGGTAAATTGTCACACTGGATTATCAAACAGTTAGAACACTTAATTGTGAATATTGATTTCAATTTCAAATTGCAACCAGAACTAAAAGTGAAATCAATCAACAATCAAGCCTAGAGAATTTGGAAAATAAATAATTTAATTCAAAACAAAAATGTTGTCAGAGCACACATTAAGTGGCACAACCTCTTTCTTTGAACTTTGAAATCAAACGTTCTCTGGAGTGCAAATAGATCTATGGTAATTGAATGTAATGCTGCAGATAACTTGCTTAAATGTGTAACTTCTTAACAAAACAGATGTGGTGTTTAAACACACTAATGCAACAATGTGCATTTTTGTATGACGTACATATGTATCTGACTAATCAGACATGAGTCACAGTTCTGGCACACATAAATTGCCAGGCCTGAGGTGCAAGCATCGCGGGCCCATTTGTTGCATTTCACACACTTAAACCACGTCTTCTTTGGAATATTGTATGAAAATGGCTCCACATGAAGCCAAAAGAGATGTCAGCGGCTTACATCAAAATCCTTAGCTGTACTTCTGATTGATTAGTTATTCAACTTCACCTGCCTGACTGCTTTTAACATTATGTCAGGCGGTGTACTGTCATTCTCTGTCTTCTGTTTATAATTTTCTTCCTTCCTTCAAAAACACATTCCTCCTTGCAATTACAAGCTTATTTGTCTATTAACCTTGTTGCCTAACTAAATTAATAACTGGATCATGTAGTGTGTGTGTGTGTGTTTGTATCTACTAACATACTACATGCCTACGGTATAAGACCGTATATACTCTGTCATGAATTCAGTCTTGTCAAGGCATATGGCTGCTGCTGTAAACTACAGTGTGTAAGATTCTATTTACAGTATCATTTAATACTAGTGTCAGAGGTAATTACACAATTTCACATAGTTTTTTGAGCATGTTCTATGTGTTTATTTGTACTGGGGCACATGTGATGACTTGCCCCAAAGTCATTGAGACAACTTGCCCCAAACTGACATGTGTGCTAATGTAGGCTATTTCTCAAGGTTAGCTTAACATAGCACTTCAGTTGAAGTATTAAAAGACGCGTTATTGTCTCCTCTACTTTGTGCAAAGTTATCATTTTGAACATTCATACCTAATAAGGTTGGAATACATAAAATGTAAAGTGCAAATGTTTTACTTTTGAAGCAAAAAAATGATAAAATTGTGCTCACCGCAGAATAGAGTGACCTTGACCACATGTGAACAGGAAGTTGAACATAGAAAAAGAAGTCACACAAAATGGTTTTTGACACAGAGCCTCTAGTGTTGGAGTTATGAGCAGTGTGACAACTTACACACGAGACAACTTATCCCGCTCTCCCCTATATATGACCAAATATTCCTTGTGACCAACAGGAGTTTCTTCCTTTTCAGGTTATGTGTCTGCAGAAAGCATCATACTCACAGGAGAAGATGTTACTTTGAAATGCAATTATGATGCTCAATACTATGTCAGGCTTTCTACATGCTGGGGCCGAGGGGCCCTTTCTTACTGCACTCTTAGCTACCTGCTCCTGGTTGACCTTGATAAACGTGATGTTTCCCTCATCATCAGGCAGGATGAGGAGAGCAACTCAGGGATGTAGCCTACAGCTGTCAGATAGAAATACCGGCTGGTTCAATGATCACACAAGAGGTGACTCTAACAGTAGTGGCAGGCAGCACACAGAGAAACAGAGAAACATGTTTCTACAGTAGCCCAAACTGACAAAATGCTCTACAGAGTACATGGCATCACTATGTTCAATAGTTACGAAAAACAAGCAGAAGAAGAAAAAGAAGAAGTAGTAGTAGTAGTTGTCTGGTGTTTTAGAAGTAAGAAGAGAAATTAAATTTGGACAAATGGAGGACGCAGGTATTATTCAGCACAAGAGCCGACAGTGCGTGTTGGCCGCTGTAGTTTCAAGTCTCAGCGGTGACTGAGCCATTGTTTGTAATTTACAACCCTCACCACTAGATGCCACTAAAACACACACACTGAACCTTTAAGCTACAGAAAAGTAAAATCCACAAAGGTATTTCTGCCAGAGTTTCCATGACAATCACAGTTTAATTTAAGGTAGTTATGAGGTTGGAAAATGCATTTGTTCCTACCCTTAACCAGTTCAAACCACCTCAAAATTTGAGAGGGTTAGGAGCACTTCAGCTGCAGCCACAGTCTGCAGACGAAGCACCACATGTGTTTCATATTGTAATTTTTATCTCATGAGTTTCACTGGTTCAAGAGAGAATTCATAATGATAATGATTTTGGAACAACAAAGTCTCGGAAATCATAGAATTAAGGCTTGAATATAACATGATGTCATCAGGTGACATGGTTGTCTGTTGGTCTTTTTATACTGAATTAGTGACTCACAGACATTTTGTTTGAAATATTACATTAAAATGGGTTTAGATGTAATGTAATGGAAATGATCGTGATAACATTGTGTTTGTCTTTCATTTCAACATCACTAAATTCAATCATGTTTGTATGAGATAATCTCGCCCTTTTCTTGCTGTTCCTCTGAGCTGCAGTCAGCAGCATTCAGTATGACAGCCCAAAATATAAATTTTTCCCCTGCAGATGCGTTACATCCTTTGTTTTATGAGCAGTGTTTTCATACGCAGGGATAAAACATGGTACACTGCCTATGACTGTAATGTTTTTTTTTTTTACAGACTTAATTGGCTGTATCAGTTCCTTGCAAAAGTGTTGACGACATCCACATTTAAAATTGTAGAAGAAGCTGGGCCAGAACTGTTCAGCATTGGAATTGTCACATCTCTGGTACAGTAAATGTTTTATTTCCAAAATAGAATATCAAAAAATATTGTTTAATTATTCCTAGCACAAAATTTCTACAGATCATTTTACTTTAAAAAAAAAAGTGGTAACATACTCTCAGTTGGCTATAATTAAAGCCTTAGTGATGTGTGCCTAAAGTAATGTTTTAATATTAAAAACATAACAGTACTTCATTTTTATGGCCCAGACTGTATATAAGATTATCTTCACTATAATATTAATCCTCGTCTTTATTTTCCAAAAGGATGGAAAGGATTATATATAAAAGTGGGCATCTATCGAACAGTTGAAGTCACTGAGTGAGCCTTCCTTCTTCCATCTTATCCTGTCCTAATAACACACTTGGAAGATTTTGCAGAGAACAATTTAAAATCCAATGCCAACATTCAGTACCACTACAGGAAGTAAGGAGCCTTTATTTAGTGGTCGTGGATGAACAACATATCTAGCAATAATAATAATCCATAACCTTAACCAAATGTTTTACTGTAGTTGCCAAACAACTTGCCTCTCACAAGATTTCAGAGCAAGAATTGTCCTTGAGCAAGACTTGTGTTTCTGCTTAAAAACAAAGTGTCACCGGTTACCAGACACCTGGTATAACAGTCTGAGCCTGTCTGTGGCAAAAATAAGCTTTTTTTGTGGATGTAATTTTGACGCGTACAATTGCCAAAAAGGAACATTGCGCATTTCAGCCACTGCACCCGTTTTGTGGCTGTCGGCTGAAGGCATCTACTGCAAAGATTCCAAAATATTTTGGATCTAGTCATTTCAACACCAGACATATGTAAAAATAGGGCCCAGGTTTAAAATACCAAAATGATTCTTCAATATCTGTCTATCCTGGGAGAGAGATCCCTTCCTGCTCTTCCTGCGGTTTCTTCCATTTTGTCCCTGTTAAAAGGTTTTTTGGGGGGAGTTCGAATCCAGAGTCTAACAACAGGGGGTGTTGTATGCTGTGCAGATTGCAAAGCTCCTCAAGGCTAATTGTGATTTGTGATATTGGGCTATTTAATATAGTCTTAGTCTTAGTTGACTTAATAAGTAACACTTTTTTTTTTAAACCAAATTTGCTGCTCGCATTTTACAGTGCCCCACTATTCTCTGATTAATTAATTTACTTTTCCTGTTTTTCTTTCTTTTTGTTTTGATGGCAAATTTAATCTCCCAGCATGCTTTATTAAGTCTCAGTACTTAAACTAAAGTTTAATGGAAGCTGATTCGTGGACACAATGCCACCTACTGGATAAACACATCAAAATATTATAATAATAATAATATAATAGAAATTTCCACCTTGAACACAGCTCTCAGTCTTCCACATTGTCCACATTTTGATGGTGCTGTGTGTTTTTTCTGTAAGAATGATGAATTGCTGTGATCATACACATTCTCAATCTCAAGATTTGGGTCCTTTCAAAATGATTTTGTGTATTAACAAAATGTATTTATTTTATATATTTTAACTCAAATCTTAAAATCAAACTTAAAAAAAGTGTGCGTTCCACAAATTACATAATTTTCCATTTTTTAAATTTTGTTCCCATTGAATTTCACCTTTGAATTGAAGTCCTCACGTTCCAGTGAAAGTAAGTTGCTCTTTTTCTGTTTTTGTTCTGGTTTTTGGAGTGTTAAAAAAATTAATTAGTGTAGCAAGGTAAGCAAAATCCAAGAAATCATGGGTGAGGCATCTTTTCTGAATCAGTGAGAAAACTCTTTATGTGGCTATGACTGTTGTTTTCAGGAATTTCAAATGTCATGACCGACAAAATCTGAGAAAAGCATCTTAAAATTGCTGTTGTATGTAACTTTCTCTTTTATTGCTGTCTACTTTTGTGGGTGTACCAGGGTGCACATGTACAACAGAGTTGGTGCTCTCATGTAGTAGTAATGAGTTGAGTTAAACAAATATGTGAAGCTATCCCATAAATCCATTTGGATTTGGATTTAATGTAGAGCTAAACTCAACATTTGTGATGCTATACAGGAATGACTAAATCCATTAAGACTGACTCTGCAAATATGAAAGTCAACCTTCTTTCAATCCTACAAATACCAACAATAGTAAAAAAAAAATCTACAGCTTTGTGTTTTTGAAATATTGCAATAAACAGTTAGTTGAACGTGTCTATGGGAGTGATCAAAGAGGAAGTTCGGTGCTGGGTTACTAAACATCCAGCAGACCCAAATGTTTACTCAGCAGTCTAAGAAGCACACAACAGTTCATGGCCCTTGAGTAAACCAGACTTTCTATTTTTAAGTGTTATCAGGACCTAATGGGTATACGTTTTTAGAAATGAAGATGAAGATAATATATCGGAAACCATTTTGTGTTTTGCTCACATGCTGATAATTAAAGTTAATATTGAAGTTAGCGTTGAAGTTAGTGTTTAAAGTCTTGAATGTCTTCTACTGGACCAAAATCATTTTCCAGTGTGTGCTCAATTCAAAAAGTACTGCACTACAGTACTACAGCTCCTACACCCAAGGGAGAAGTTAAGAGTTTGAATGGTTAAACTAAAACCTTCTATCCCTATCACTTCACGGATTGAGACCAAACAACAGGAGAGAAGACATTATGTTGACAACCTTGATTCTGTCTCTGTCTAATCATCAAAATGTAACAGTGTACCACTTCTGGAATAAGGGAACCAAAACCGCAGAAAAGGAAACAGCTCTTTTCTACATTCCTCTTCTGCCCGCAGAAGTTGTTTGTGTGAGCATCCCAAGGACAGCATCATGTGATCTGGAAAGATTTCAAAGCTGAAACCACAATGTGATTTGGTTTAGTGTCCTTTAGCAGGTGATCTAAATCCGACTGAGACAAGAGAGTAAAATGATCTTTTTAGGCAGAAGACACGTCCCTCTGTGTTGCACTCTCCTCTTTTGTCTACTCATCGGTAAGACAGTCATGACAATTATATACATTTTAATTAATTATGTGTTTATTTAATAAATATTTCCAAATATTCCTAATTGCAACAGGAGTTTCCACCTTTTCAGGTTGTGTGTCTGCAGAAACTACCATAACCACAGTGGGGCAAGATGTTACTTTGAATTGCAACTATGATGCTGGGTACTACGGCAGGCTTCCTGTATGCTGGGGTCGAGGAGACATCCCCAACAGAGGCTGTGCCAATGAAGTTATCAAGTCAGACGGGACGTCAGTGCTCCGAAGACTGTCAGAGCGTTACCTATTAAGTGGTAACCTTGGTGAGGGTGATGTGTCGCTGACCATCAAGCAGGCTCAGGAGAGTGACTCAGGAACGTATGGCTGCCGTGTGGATATACCGGGCTGGTTCAATGATCACAAACACCAGCTGACTCTGACGGTAGTGGCAGGTGAGACCCACAAGGACATAATATAATCTCTGAGGGGGAGACGAAAAAGAAGATCAGTATTTGTGACAACATTCAAAGTTTGGTTACTGGAATACCCCGGTGACTGCCTGCCTGTTTTACAAATGTCCTTTTCAATTTCCAAGGTGACGACTGGCAGTGCTCACATTTAATAAGCTGGAAAAAGCAAAATTCATAAGTGACTTAAACAATTAATTGATTGTAAAATAGTTTGTTCTGTTTTTATCTGTTGATTAATCGACTGATTGTTTTTGTCTTTTTAGTGCGCCCTGATCCTCTGAAGGTGGAAGCAGGAGAGGTGAAGGAAAGAACTGTCACTGTTCGCTGGACTCCTGTGTTTGATGGCGGCAAGCCCATTACACATTACAGGATTGATCTAAAAAACAAACAGGGTAAGCACAAGAAAACTGTGCCAATAATCTTAATAGAATTTGGGCATTAGGCAGCTGACTATATTGTTCGAAATATACTTTGCTGGATCTTATCTATGCATTCCTGTTGCACAGCATCATGGGACACTGCAATAACAACTCAAGTCTCAAATCCTGAATTGACTCAGCTGACTCTGGTGGATCTGCGACCTGCCAAGAGCTACAACCTTCGCATGTTTGCTACCAACAGTGTGGGTATGAGCGAGGCCAGCAATGTTCTGACAGTCACAACAAAAGAAGCAGGTAGAGTCAGTCATTATATATTGTTTAAGAAATAATTACAATTATGCAGAACCACCTTTTTGGCATTGATGTCCTGTTTAAAATGTCTTCCCCTGCAGCACCAGAGGGTCCTCCGCTGGATATGAAGCTTGAGGCGCTCACTTCTCACAGCATCAAAGTCACCTGGAAGGTAACATCACAGTTTTGAAACTTCATTTGCAGAAACATTTAACAATTTTCTCAATTTGCAGAAAAAAAAAAAAAATTAAAATAAAGAGGCTAAAGATACTCTACCCTTTTTGTCCAGGCTGTGCGGGTTTGGGTTAACCCTAACCCTCTGTTTGTTTTCTCTTGACCAGCCTCCGAGGCTCGATCTGAGAAATGGAGTTCTTCGAAGTTACAGCATTAGCTACAGAGAGTATGACCCTGCTGGCAGACAGTTTAAAAGGTGGCAGCACTTAAGTGTGACAGCCACACGGGAACTGGAGAGCGTCATCCTGAGCAACCTGAACCCTTCCACCAAATACGGCGTGCTTGTACAGGCCAAAACAAATGCAGGAATTGGACCTGCCTCAACGGCACCTCTCTGCTCCACTCTTGATAAGGGTAAGTCGGGAAACAGGAGAGGATATAAGAATATGACTAAAAACATACATTAAATTATTGTTATGATGCCGGTTTAATATCAAATCATTTACCGAGGTCTGAAGATGCATTTTATTCTGTTTTAGTTCAACAAACTTCAACAGCGTCAACTATTATGACTACTTCCATTGCCGCCACAGTGTGGATAGAAGACACTACAAGTTTCACTTCAGGTACCTGTTATTGGATTGGTGAAGCTTAATATATTTCTGAATGCTTTATTAACATCTTGAGAGCTATAAAAAATAAGTAAATTAATTATGACAGGAAAATGTATTTTCTTACTCTGCCCCAAGGTCATACAACTTCAACAGTTGAGACAACAGTTGAGACAACAGTTGAGACAACAGTTGCTGCTGCCACAGTCTGGGGAGACAGCACTACAACTATCATGTCAGGTACTTCATGGACATTAAGAAACTGTTAAAAGTTGTTTCCCTGAATTAATGTTGCTGTTTCTCACATCACTTTTATTTCAGACATTGCATCCAAATTAACTTTATCTGAGCTGTGAATCTGTCTTTCTACCGAAAGAAACATGTCCAAATTCACAAAATTAAACTGTGCTGTAACCCCCACACCCCCCACCAACACACACACACACACACACACACACACACACTTTGTGTCTCCTAGTGCCCCCGGATCCCCCAGTGGTTGAATTAAAGGAGGTCAAAGACAATGCAATTTCTCTTTTATGGACTCCTGGGTTTGAAGGTGACAGCCCCATTACTGGATATTACCTGGAGTATAAAGCAGTCAATGGTATGAGAACAATTCACTGGAGGAATTAAATTGTTGCCACTTCACTATGATTCAGCTGTGAAAGCTAAACTTATATTATTAATCCTTTTGGCATTTGATAATATTGTGTTTTTCCCCCCCCACAGCCTCGTGGGATTACACAAAGACAGTTGTAGACTTCGGCCCCAACCAGACAGAGGCTACAATCATAGAGATAAATCCCTCAAAATACAACATCCGCATGTTTGCCAAGAACAGTCTGGCCACCAGTAAAGCTAGCAACGTCCTTACCATCACCACAGGAGAAACAGGTGTTGTGTTCCTTGATTATAACTGTTTTTTTTTCCATTGCTCAACTCTTTACAGTAGGTTTACTATGGTGCTGTGGTTCATTAACAAGTGGCAAAATGTTTCCTTCATTTCTGTAAGAGATGAAATTGGGGGGAAGCCCCAAAATATAATTAAACTATGCTTTTATTATAACACAACTGCAGATCCTCAGAGAACAGGAAACATAGTTGATGTGTCCTGATATCTTCTCATCTCCTTTCCTTTCTAAGTTTAGCAATTTAGCAATACTTTCAAAACTTCCTCTTAGCAACTTCACTTTGTGGTTGTGTGTGACAGGTCATCGTGGGGGTGTTCTCGTTACAACCTTATTTCCTGGCACTCAAGCTCCTGTAAGTATGAAACCATTGACTTCAGTTACAAAGTATGTGGATATTAACACAGAATTATCACAGAACAATGTATAATTTAATGTTACAGTGATAAACCCACAGAGAGCTATCTACAGAGCTTTAGCCTCTTGTTTTGCCCACACTTGTCCTATGTTCGAGTCAGAGACACTTATTATATCTTGTAGGCAGCTGGTTTTAGCAAAAAGCTCAGATAAACTACACCCAACTGTTAACTAGCTCACTTCCTGTTCAGCAACACTGACATTTACATTTAGACGCAGTATGCACAATAGCTTTTATTAGTATTTTTTGCTGCTCTTACTTGAATCTATTGTCACTTGTGGATCTCTTACTGTATTGATGCCTCATTAATGTTTTAGGCCTATTGATGCTTTATTGATGCTTGCATGTTGTTCCTCAAATGTAAGTCACAACAAAAGGCAGGCAAACTTAATTGCCTAAGTTAGCTAGTTGGTGAAAATAGTTGAGCATCAAGCAAGCTAAAATAAGTTAAAGGTTCATGTGTAAGTTTTAGTGGCATATAGTGTTAAGGGTTGCAAATTGCAACCAACGCTCACGGTACATTCTCATGCTCCTTGGATGGTCCCATTTCTTGTTAAGTCATTCTTCTGACTTTAGTGTGTGTTCATGTGCTTTTAAGTCAGAATGTGGAATCAACATGGACGCTACTACAAAGATGTGTTGGATTCGCATTATCAGAGCGTAAACAACACACAGACAACTAGTTCACATGTATTATTATCATGTATTATTTTTATTTATGAAAAACGCGTTGACTGTGGGGATGTAACAGTGGGTATATCATGATGATCTGGTATACAGTTTATTTAATTTAATTTATTTGATCAGTGCAGAGTCTGTCAAATCTGTCTGCGCAACACTCGTGTCAGATCGCTCCTTCTCCATGGTCGCCTGCAGCCGCACTCCGATGTCCTCGTAACTGTAACTTCACAATCTTCATCTACACTAGAAAACAAAAAGGGGAAAAGAGCATGCGTGTTACTTTTCAGGCTATAACAATGCTGTTGACACATTGTCCACCCTGCCCTTCAGCCTCTGCAGTAGCCTGAGAACCACACAATGATCAGTAGTGTATTTAATGTTTTTATTAGACTATAATCAAAACTCATGTTTAGTCTAATGTTCGGGACAAACAGGAGTCTAATGAACTAGTCAACTACTACTACTTCTTCTTTGTACATAGTGAGCTTAGAGACAAAATGCGCTCTGTAGAGTTTGTCCATTTGGGCTACTGTAGAAACATGGCACCACAACGTGGCGACTTCAATGTAAGGGGACCCGCAGTGTATGTAGATAGAAATGGCTCATCCTAAGGTAATCAAAACATAATGGTTCATTATGTAAGGTCTTCATACATCACTGAAAACATAGTTATGGATATTATAATGCATTTCTGTCAATAGATTTTCCTAAATATTACACACTGAACATTTAAGCTATTTTCTCAGGTGTTGGTAGAGACAAAACAGAGCTAAAATATGAGTGATTATTGGACTTACATTCATGCTTGGAGAAACACGACTCCAACTGAATGCTAATGGTTCTCTGTTTATCAGCAGGATGTGAATGTACAGTAAATGTAAATGTATGCAACTGTTTGATAACTCAGTAGACAAAATTAGCTTGTGAATTTCAGGCTTTGTATCTGCTAGCTTGTTTGTATGTTCTTAATGTTAGGTCTCCAGTGGAGATAAAGTAGACCTTTTGTTGAACTCCCTCTGCCAGGTGATCGCCGAGGAGAGTCCAAGTGGTCACCTAGCGGCCATCGTGGTGCCGGTTGTGCTGGTGGTGTTGATTGTTGCCATATTAACCACTTGGCAACTAAGACGTGAGTATCCCAAACAGCATGGCAACTTAAATTAAGAAGTTGGAATAAATTTCCTTCTTTAATTTGATCCTCATACTGGCTGTTTACAGGAATAAGGCACAAAAAGGGCAGCGTCAACATGTGAGTGTTTGCAGTATTTGGGTCAGTTATGTAGAGAATTAAACACTTGAAAACACCTCTACTGGACTGAACAGTTACTTTTTCTTGTCTGCAGGTGGCTGGCCAGTGGAGTGCTACGTTACAGAGGATCTGAGTCACTACAAGAGCTGTAAAATTCTCAGTTAACTCTTTACACAAATAATAAATAAGCAGACAGAATGAATGAAATTTGCAAAAGAATATTTAATTTCTGTTAATTAGTTATGTCATTAAGAAGATTGAGGAGATTAGGTGATTCAAACTAACCAAACGAATAGGCCTAAATAATCTCTGCTTTGGAAACACTGACTAAATAAGCTCTAATCACAACACCATTGTACTTTAGATTTTATACCTACAATACCATACCAGTATGTCTTTTGTACTAGCCTACTTCTACTGTATATTAGCCTACTGTGGGCCTCCTATATTGTTTTGTTGCAGCACTTTTTGCATTTGTTCATTTGTTTCATCTTTTTCTAACTATACCGGCAAACTGCTGTTTACACTTTTATAAGCATCAACAGGTCATTAAATCAATTATTTTATTTTTATATCGCTTTATGGAATTGTACTACATCTTTAATCATTTGCCTTTAGGGTAATAAATGTCCACAGTGTTTGCTGGTCAACATGTAGGCTGATTTATTTTACTGGGTAAAACATTTTGTGTCATGTTGGTACAACCATCACTGAGAAAATGAACACAACAGATTTACCTAGGCTAATGGTTACAACCACAAGCTGTGGCCATACTGGATGTGGCAGTTTAAAAATATGCTAAATGATTAGTTGGTAAAAGCCCTAAAGGACTATTTGAACCTCTGAAAGGTAGGTTATGAATGCACTCCTGAGATAACATTTTGATTCGAACTCAAAAAAACCTCTATCCCGTTATTTTCTTTAAATTACGGTTAAACTTAAACAGATCACTCCCTGACTAAAATATTTTCAATGAAAAAAAAGTTTGATTCATTATTGTAAAACTGAATAGTCTACACTCAGCGGGTGTGCGTCATTTTAAAACAGAGGGCCTGGTGCTGTTGACCAATCCCTCAATTAATACTAAACTGTAAAACACAATTCCATTCATTGAACAAACTAAAGAAAACAGATATGCGTGACATTTCCTTTCCACAACCCTCACAACACTGACCACCAGTATCAACCTACAACCACAAGATGGCGGCAGATTCCCACCAGTGAGTTGATCTGCTGATCTCCACTCCACCTCATCGTCGATGGAGCAATCCTCTGGGGCAGGCACTGCAGCCAGCTGGATTTCCATCCATCTGTGCTGTAAATCTCTTAATTGTCCTAATTAAGGAGATGAGGAAGAGGAGGAGACCTGATACCTCTGCGGAGCTTTGAGGCAGCTGCCTGCGAGGGAGTCTGTTACTAATGGGGGTTCACAAGGGGGATACCAAAGCTCATGTCTCAGCAGGGACCACAACAGCGATCAATGTTTGTAAGCGTATGAATGGGTGTTTAAAAAAGGGCTTCCACTTCCTTTTCTGCTTGTTTATTTCTCTTTCTAAAGAAGGCAGACAACTAAGCCACTGATGAAAGAACTGTTGTTTTTGTTGTTTCTGCATTCACGTGCTACACTTCCTGAGATGTGGACTAATCGTCTACAGTGGTGTAAATATGGCTTGATTATTGGTTTGCAGTGGTAACCCATCACAAACTCAGACTTGCTGACACACAAAGCCACATTACTCTGTGTGACCGTGGCCTATAAACACAAACCCACCACATCCCTCCTCTCTGGACTTCCTCTCATCTCTGGACCCCTCACTTCCGCTGTCCGCTGCCCTTCTCCCTTCTCCCTCTTTCGTCTTCCTCCTCACTCTGGCTTTGCTTACACAAACACGAGCGCCTTCCTGTTCTGGTTCTTTCCTCCCTATCTGCACCTCTCCGACCCCTTTGCCTTTCATCCATCTTCCTCTCTGTTCAAGCTCTGCTGATTACACTGTGTGGCACTTACATAAACAGAAGGAAAGCGGCAAGGAAGGTTGTGGGAAGCACTGGTTGGATAACTTTGATGAGGTCGCTTTGATTGACCACACAGCCAAAAACCAATTTACCTCTCAGCCACCTCCACCCCCACTCTTTCTGGTTCCCCTTGGACCATGCCTGCCACCAGTAAACCACAGAAGGCAACAAACCAGTATTCAATGCAACTAGGACAAGGAGTTGGGACACAGATGGAAACAGCTAAACTCACTGACCTGCAGATGATTAACAATGTGTCATCACCGCAACAATTTTGTCACCTCATCCACGGCATGGCTCCCCCGCCCTCTTTAAACATCTTCTACTGAGACCAAACATCCATTAAGGCAACAACACAACACTCCCTATGTAAGCCATGCAGAGCTGTGTCAGCTGTATCTGGTAAAGGCTTCAATGTGAGACTGCAGGTGGGAGATTGAGGAGGGAGGGGGGAGTGTATGGTCATAATAATGGCAGTATTAGCAGTGGGGACAGAGTTAGTACTGTAATAAATCATGCACTATGGTTCTGGCCACATCAAGGCGCCAGCACTCAGGAAATGGAGACTCTGAACGGTACCACACACACCAAAGGCTCTCCACAGGAGGGGCTGGTCTCCAGGCCTCGTTGCCCCCAAACGGATGCACGGCCGTGGGTCTAAAGGAGCTGCCAGATGTTGGACCTTCTGGAGAGCCTTATGTATTTGCAAACAGCACTGCAGATGCAAGTATTGAAAGGAACAGAAATGAAAGGTTGAGGTGGAACAAAAAATAGACACAGAGGCAGTTTGTGGAAGCATGCACAGTGCTGGGGGTATGGCCTATTTGCTGATGAAAGAAGCACTAATTGAATCAAGTCTTTATCCAAAATCCCTGCAAACTACAGCAGCTCAAAGGGAACTTTTCATGTTGTTAGAGCCATAGCATGCCTGTCAGTGTGCAAATGAAAACACGTAGCAATTACATCCATACGTTCTGCGTGAGCTGGAGAAATATTCAGATATTACAGTGACTGATAACAAACGTGTTGAGAAGGATGGTGATGTGGCAATCTAAAAAATTGCCAGAAAAATTCTCTTCATTCATGATGAGATCTGATGGTTCATTTGTGTGTGTGTGTGTGTTGATGTGATCTGATTAGCCAACCTGAGCCAGATGGAAGGCAGCGCACATGTTTGAAGGTCAGACATAACAGTTTCCATGGAGACATCACCAAGTAGACCAAGTAAACCAAGTACAACGCTGCACTGCACTGTCGCTTCCCCGGGGGACATGCATCAGGCTTTGTGTGTGTGTGCGTGTGTGTGTGTGTGTGTGTGTGTGTGTGTGTGTGTGTGTGTGTGTGTGTGTGTGGTGTGTGTGTGTGTGTGTGTGTGTGTGTGTGTGTGTGCGTGTGTTTGTGCGTGTTGATGTGTATGTATGTACACTGTAAGAGCATTTGCCTGGCAGTTGGAGTTGTCGCTCTGCACTATGCTTTTGTGCATCTACATGTAAAAGGCATTAAGGTCTATTTTCAAATGATGTCCCTTCAGTCCCACAACCATGTGATACTTTTTAAAGTTGTTTGAAGAAAGAAAGGAAGCCTTTTGTGTGTTAAAACACATGTTTGACAGTGTTAGGATGCATAAAGTATGTTCATAGTATGTTATTATTAAGCTTGAGCTAAGCGGCAAATTTCAACCTTCTCTGAGGTATAAGTTTCCATAGAAACACGCTAGACTTTATATTGATGTACTGTAGCGAGTTTATCAAATGCTGAAAAAAATGTATTTGGCAGCCAGTCATTGAGGACAGAAATAGCTATACTGACATGCTTGTTGCCTCCCTTTGCACACCCATAATCCTTAATGCTTGCAGATATTTCCATAAACGTTTGAACATCCAAAACCATATCTTGTACGATTCATATCACACGTCACCTCTCATTCAGGCAGCATTAAGTGTCAGAGCTTTGAACAGAAGCATGGGTCTTAATCTGTTTAAATGTGCTTCCTTCTCAGCACTAACACCACTGACTTTTGCTTTTTTAATACACCTGCCCAGAGGCGAGTTCTAGTAAGGAGAGGCGTCAAATTGGAAGACCTCCATCGTCCTGGCAGCTGAACACAGTGGAAGTCTTGCATCTGTTGAGGGGATTGGACCGGCTGAGCTCTGCCATAGAAGACAAGTGGCTGGCGCTGTTGAATGGGAGAAAGAGTGTGGAAGGATGGAGGGAGGGGGTAAAGTAGAGGAGGAGGGAGGAAGGGAGAGAGAGAGAGGCAGAGGTAATCACATCAGGGGATTAGTGGCTGTTATTAATGGAGGATAAGGCTCTTTGCTGTCACTCTCACTGACACACAGACACAAACACAGATATACACACAAAGACACACATCCATTTATCTATCTATCTATCTATCTATCTATCTATCTATCTATCTATCTATCTATCTATCTATCTATCTATCTATCTATCTATCTATCTATCTATCTATCTATCTATTCCCTTGACTGTCTGACAGTAAAGCAGTTACACAGCTGCCGCTCCTCGTCCGACCTCTGGCCTACGGCAATGCATTATGATTTTGGTTTGTAATATTCTCGCTACCTACTTCATGAGGGAGAAAAATGATCTGCTCTAGTGTGCATATCTGTGTGTGTATGTGTGTGTGTTTGTGCTGGCATGCCACCCGTTGAAAGATGGCCATTCAGTGGTGAACAAACAAGACATTTGTCTAAAGTCTTGCATCACCTCAGGGAAGACTCTGTGGAAATGTGCTTTGCCAGGTTATCTTTGCTGTTATTTTCAGTCTCCCTGTGACTCACAGGATTCAAACTTCACGGCAAGATTTGTGCAAGAATAAAAAATCTTTTCGACACATGTCTGTCATTTGTGCCACATACACTGAAACATAATTTGACAGATTGTCTAACCTGTTTCTTCACTCCAATGCCTACACACATGAATTAACAATACACATATACTGTATATTGCTGTTCTGACAGTAGTGATGTGTGTGAGGAGACCATAAGAGAATGTTGTGGGCTTATTAGCCTGTACACAAACACACACACACATACACACGTGCATCGGCAGATGACAGTCACAATGGTTTCTCAGTGAGAAGATGTATGGGCCCGGGCTAAAGAGGCACATTTGCAGGCTCTTTCATCAGTGAGAATTCGCCTCAGCCTCGCTGAGAGAGCCATGTAAGACACCAGCATCCCACCGTGAGCCGCAGACACAGCTGCACCACAGTTTCATCATCTGAATGGAGTTTCACAGCAGTGGCATGGAAACCAAAGTCCCCAAACCCTATCATAACACCCAAGGACCCTGGAGGTGCAGTAGCATGTCAGAGAAGCTCAGAGGCTACACAAATAAGAAAATAGAAAGAATCCATGAAAGCAAGAAACACTAGAGGGGAGGATTGAGAGAGTTTGAGAAGCAGCCAGCCGTTCCTTTTGGCCAAGTAGAGAGGCAGCAAGAGTGGATTGAGGACTTGATGTTTTGTCTTTGCTTCCTTTTTCTTAAACAAAAACTTACAGTAGATAGAGCAGAGCATCTTAAATTGTGCATGAAACTTCTTCACAGGCGCTGAATTAAGATGAAGTTACTTAAATAAATTGATACTTTGTTGCACTTTTTTCCAAATAAGTAAACAATACTGAAAGTACAACAGCCTACTGTTTTTACATGGCTGTGTTTTTTTATGTTGGTCCCTATGAACATAGGGAGCTGAAGGCCCTGTGGGGATACACACACACACACACACACACACACACACACACATCCACAGATACAAACAAGCCAATCTCTGTGTCTGTCAGCTCAGTGCTCATAATCACATCCTATCCCCTCGTGTTCCCATACACACAACCCCCCTACCTCGCTTCACTGTAGAGGGAGAGAAATGAGAGATCCCTCCAAACGCTCTCTAAGATTAAGGCTTTTGTGTTTTACATGTGTTATCATTGCTTCCGTTCGTTATCCCCCTGCTTTTGTCTCAGCCTCCTCCTCTAATTAGAATCTTGTCCCTTTCATTCCTCCATGCGCCTTTCTTACACCTGTGAGAGCGAGGAGAAGAAGAGCACGGGGAGGGAAAAGAAGAGAAGAAGAATAAGGAAGGAATGGGGAGAGGAAAGATGAAAAGCGCGCCACACGTAGCGAGTTGCGGAGCGTTGTGGAATGCGGCGTCTGAGGGGAGGATGAAGGCGCTTGTCACGTCTCATCACACAAACGTACACACACACACACACACACACACACCACAACCTGGTTGTGGTGCAGCAGAGACACACAGTCCCGCTGAGCTTTGAAAAGAAGAAAGTGCAAAGGGAATGAAAAAGAAGAAAGAAGAACAAGCAAGAAGAAGCCACCGTGTTGGATGTTTCATTTTGACCCATATTTGTCCTGACGCATAAATCAAACAGGCGCTGAGAAGCCCAGCGCATCTGTCACGATAGGGCGTTGGAGAAAATATCTAAGCAGATCCACCCAAATGCACACACCGCTGGTGGCATGAACCGCAATTAGGAACTGCAAATAATAAGCAAAATAGAATATATACAATGTTAAGGCAAGTAAGCCTTGATGCCACAGTTTTTTATATAAATGTGAACTACTCTAACAAGCATAAAATCATTGCCTCATTCTCTCTTTCCTTCGCTGTTCCCTGCTCCATCCCCCCTCTCCTCCACTCTCTCTTCTCCACCCTCCTGCCTCCAGCCAAGTTCAGCACTGTCTGTCCCCTAGCCCACAGTGTGGCCTCCTTGGCTGTTTTATGCGCGAGGTGAGGGCAGGCTGGCACTGCGCCTCTGTGTGCGGTCAGGCCGTGTTTACATCTGTCTGGCCCTGGAGCCTGGAACCTGGAGCTGTGCACCGGTGCACCCTGGACATCACCCAGAAGACTGTAGCATGACCTGGGGATTGACTCTCACTCAGGTTCAGCCTGATGAATGGCCTACAGTCTCACGGAGCCATGCTTGTCCCTTTACATAACTGACCCCTTTTTCCAACATTGATCTTAAATCTGCCTCCAACTATCACTGAGCTCCACACTCTCCCCAGACTTCCCAGTATCTACACATAATAGAAAGTATAAGGAGCTTTTGCATGCATGTTAAAAAACTCTCTTTCTCTGATTGAATGTCTATATGTTAGTACTTAGGATTTGTGTGTCTGAGATATGTATAACATGCACTAATCTGCCAGAAGCAGCAAAGAAGGGAGAGAATTGAATAGTGCTAGTTGTGGTACATGACAAACAGTGTGATCTGCCTTTTGTTTTTGATAGCTGATGAATATGCATGTGGCCCTGGGAGTGACTGAGTTTGGGGTGGGGTAGTGGGCTCAGAAGAGCATGTCAAACAATGGAATTACATCTCTGACATGTATCCACCGCAAGGCTGGGATTAAGCCCAGCGCAGAGGGAAAAAACAGAAAAGAAGGAAGAAGGGATAGAGATGGAGAGAGAATTGATAAAGAACAGATCCGCTGCTTATCTATTGAATAAATGGAGGCCTGGGGGAGACAAGTAGAGGAAGGAGATGAGGGAGGTTTTTGGTGGCAAAGAGAGGGGAGAGGCGGGGATGAGGGGAGAGCGGGTCGTCAATCCGATGTATTTAATTTCTTTTGCTGTTAGTGAATCATCAAGGGGATGATCCAACAGCGGATCAAAAGAACGAGCAGGGGAGCGGAGGGGGAAAAAAAGCAGATTAATGCAACAGAACAAAGGAGCAGTCTCTCCAAGATGATCACACTCCTCTTCCTCCATCATCCACTTACTCTCCCTCCTTTTTCTTGTTTTTCTTTGCAGACAACTTTCATAAATGGTATGAAGACATGAACAAGACTTGAGAGCATTGACAGGAGTTCATTGCGCAGCCACTCGATATTCTGGCCCTCCTGACAAGTCCAAGGCGTTCTTGAAGGACAAAATCTGGTAGCATCTGTTTCATCTTTATGTGCTTCATCCGAGTCCTGTCACATATTATGAGAAGCTTCTTACGGGGCTGCATGCAGACCACTTGTTTAGTCTGAGTTGCCCCTGTCAGGCGACTCTTATGAAAAGCCCACAGATCAGAGCAGCGGATGTCCAGTCAGCATGTCGGTTTTTATTTTGAATCCCTGAGTCTGCTCAGACAGTGTTCATGTTTAAAGTAAAGCCTTAATCTGGACTGTTATATCCCAGTATAGCCATAGCATAGTTCCCCTTGAGTGGCGTTGCTTTGTGGTAGTGTCTGAAGTGTTTTCATGTAGTACTGTTTTTGGCGCTGAACTGCTGCTTCTGTCTGTCTGCCAGTGAGAGGAGAGCATGATGGACCACATCTCAGAGGTTTCAGCTCTGACTACAACACCGTGGTGAAAGTATTCAGCTCAGGAGGGATTGGGATTGCAATACTGTGTGTGTGTGTGTGTGTGTGTGTAAGTGCAGGAAAGGTGGGTGAAGGGCTTGCCAGGTCAGGCTTGAATAGTGCTCCAAAAGACAAACCGGCAGCCGAGATGGTTTGACCGCGTCCAGTTAAAACAAATATAAGAGGCCTCAGTGATGCTGTTATAATCCCATTTTACATTTCACCGCACCCCCCTCTATCCCCTTCCAACACTCTCTCTTTTTTCCTCTCACTTTCTCTCCCTCTCTCTGTCACCTTTTCTGTCACTCTGCCCAAACCTCTGCAACTCCCACACAGTTCACCTTAATGCCTCCTCATACCTGCCTGTCTTCTCCAGATGGCAGATTGAGGTGCATGAGCATGTATGAGTGTTGGTGCGAGTGTGTGAGAGCTGTTCAGCCTGGTTTTATTCCATGCTGGAGTCCCTTCTCCTGACTTTCCCTCCCCCCTGTTGAAGCAGAATGAACTGAAGTCTGAAAAGTCAAGCGGTGTCCAGCCAAGCTCACGGATGGTTGACGGTCAATATTGACCCTGGGCTCCATGTCTCTCTGTGGAAACAAGGAACAAACCTCAACACCCCCCCCCCCCCCCCCCAACCCCCCTCCATGTCACCTTGACTCCCTCACACACAGATAGGACCAAGTTGCCGGCAGAGGCTTGACCCAACCGCTGACCCTGGTCTGGGTATTTTCTCATCCTCCTGCTGGTTAAGAACAGGCTAGGATAGGGTGTGAATCTGTTCTTGGTGCTGTGAGCCAGCTGTGAGTGATGGATGGGAGTGAGATATTGTCACTGATGCTTA